TATATATATATATATAATTTCACGAGTTTGTGCTTGCAGGTGCATACATGAAAAGAGTAAAAGAATGAGAACATTGTGTTTGTTGTTGTTGTTGTTGTTGTTTTAAACAGACTTTAATCCTCTCCAGCTTCATGTTGTCTGGCTGGTCGTGCACGCGCCAGAGCGTGCTTGTTAACGTATTTAGATGGGGCTTTGGGCGGTGGCCGCTGAATGAATAATCAAAGCGGTTTGGAGGTTGAGGGGGGCGGTGCTTGCTGTGTATTTACACTGGGCCCGCTCCGCCCTGCGAGCCGGGGAGATAGAAAACTGTCTGCGGGGCCGGAGGGATGGAACAAGTGGAAGGCGATGTTGCCGACAGGCACGTATTAATTACTCCGCGACACGCACTGCACCTCTCCGGCTCTGCCCTCCTCTCAGCACGCCGCGGCATCCTCCTCCTTTCTGCGTAAAGACGAGAGACTCGAGGGCTGCTGCCGCTGCGTTCGGAGCTTCATGGCCGCGACACTCGCGATGAGCGGCGGGCAGGAGGACCCCTTCTACCCGCTGCAGAAGGCGACCGGGTTCCCCCTGGAGGACTCGGCGCTGTTCGGCTTGGACTGCAAGATCCCCGACACGAGCAAGGCAGAGCAGCACGACTACACGCAGGTAAACATGTCAGAAATCCGAAGCGCTGTGCATGTTTGTGTCGTTTCTTTGAATGGGCGTGGCAGATGTGATCCCAGGTTGTTTATTTATTTATTTATTTATTTATTTGCTGGCCTCCGAATCCACCTCGGGTCTGTGAAGCAGCACAGAATGTATTTATTGCGCTATTTTCGGTGCGATAAGAAACGCGCAGGCTGCGAACAGCTGGACGTGCGTCCGATCCGTTCCGCCTGCAAACGCATTCACCGCATGTTGTTTTTTTTTTTCTGTGCCAGCCTGCCAGTTGGTCACCAGTTGTTGGTCTGTCTGTCTCTACCCCCCCCCCCCCCCCCCCCCTCCTCTTCTTTGACGCGCGCTCGCACCATCATACCGCGCTGACGACAACTGACTTCGGACAGAAATGTCCCGGCAACTCTGTCCCACTCCCCAGTTAGGGAGGAAACTTGTGCAGCAGAGGAGTAACAGCTGGTGGGATCAGGAGCCTCAAATAGCAGCCCATCCCCAGACTGCTGCTGCTACTGCTGCAGCAGCAGCAGGCAGGGAGACTTGGGTGTTTCCCCATTCCCTTTCATGATGCTGTTTCATCCTCTGCTGCAGGGCTTATCTGACTTTTAAAGCACAGCATGAAGGAGACCTGCAGTGACATTGAGCGGCACATGGCGGTTTTCTTTAGTACTATCACATATGTGCAAGTTTTCCATTTACGTGAAGGATTTATGTGTTTGTTTACGCCACACTGTTCGGTGTTCTGGTTCAGCGTTGGCCTCACAGAGGGCAGGTTTTTGAGTTCAGCTTGTCAGGCAGAGAGGGAATGTTGCAGCTGCCTACTGATGACTACTTGGTAAATGTTTTAGGAGTGACTGCTCTATCATTTTTTTTTTTTTTTGCCCTGGAAGCTCGCCATGACCTCCTTCTTGTCGTGATTTATGTATTCATGAATGTATTTTTGTTTGTTTCCCTCAGGTGAAGTGCGAGATGGACAGGTATCTCTCACCTCAGCCTCCTTCCTTTCCACCTCATGCAGACAACCAGCAGAAGTCGCACAGAGATGGCACGTCTGCGGTGGATCAGTTCTTCAGTGACGACCACACAGGGGCTCCCTACACCCTCAACATGAATCTTTACCTGCCTGACATGACCTACCTGAGTATGGGTTCGTGTGAGCAGGCGCGGCCCCCTCAGCACCAGAACCACGGCGGTCTTGCGCAAATCAAAACGGAAACTGCCTCGTCGTGTTTCTCCCCCGACCTTCAGCCTCACTGCCCCATCAGTACGAGCAGCTGTGGCACATCCAGGCACGGTCCTGGCAGCGTTTCTATGGAAACCTTGGCCATAAACATGTCGTTAACAGGGTTACCAGACTTCACCAGTGTTTTCAACCAGTCGGGCAGCGGTGGCGATCACCTGCCAGAAGTGTTCATCAAACAGGAAATGTCACCGCAGTACGAGCACGGCCTCCATCATGACAACAGTGGCTCGCTGTTTCAGCTCCTGAACTCGGGTTTGGATCATCACCCCAGCAGTGGCATGGAGGCTCGGCAGCAGCACAATTCCACCGCAATCCACACACCTTTCCATGATATGCCAGTACCACCTTCTTCTTCTACCCAGCAAAAGCAGACCGCCAAGCCGGCCTACTGCAGCCTGGGCAACAGGGTGTACACGCACCCTCACACGCAGCCGCACCCCCACTTCCTGCAGCAGCAGGCGCCCTACCTGCCGCCCTCCCCGCCAAACTCCGAGCCGGGTAGCCCTGACAGGCAGAAGGAGCTGCTCCACACCATGTCCCCTCCTCCTTCATACGCAGCCACGATCGCATCTAAGCTGGCGGGCGCCACCCCGGGGCTCGGACCAGGCCCGGGACCCGGCGGTTTTGCCCTGCCTATCTCGACGGTTCCCACACCGGTCCAAGGTCCAGCTGCAGTTCTTCCTCAAGTCTCCACAGCAACCACAACACAGAACCCCATGCCCGTGCGCTACAACCGGAGGAACAATCCAGACTTGGAGAAACGCCGGATCCACCACTGTGATTACCCAGGTTAGAACATACCCACCTCCATGTGTTTCTGCTGGCGAGCGTGTTTGATTTATCTCTGCACTGTGGCCGGGGTGATGTCTGGTCGCTCACAAAGGTCAACATTACAGCATTCAGATTCAGTTTAAGACTCCCATGATTTTTTTAAAAATTATATGCTTTGTTTGGACCTGCATTCCCAGACCAGGTCTCCAGGCCTGCGACACACTCTACTGTAATTGCAGTATTATAATAACGTAGAACTAACTAAGGTCTGAAAACCACTTTACTTGCCACCAGGAGCTCCCTCTGCGTCTTGTGGCGTCTAAATCACCGTAGGAATGATTGTGAAATGAGCCTGTGTGTACATGGGTGTGTTAATTACACAGACGTTCTGCTTTGGTCATTTGATCTTTTCTTTTTCCCGACACCATCATTTGCATGCATGCTTGAGATTGCTCTCTCAGGTTGACTTCATTTATTTTTTTTGAGCCTTACACAAAGTCACACTGTTGCAACGCAGTGTGCAGCCACCTTTAAAACTGGTAACGTTAACTAGCCTGTGGCAGCATGTAAACTAAGCTTTGGGCAAGCACCTGGAGCAGGTCAGGACACGTCTTCCAAAGTAAGATGAAGCAAATTCATCATTTCCATAAATCCACCTTTCACACAACTATCTAGAATTTGGTCTCAGGGAAACTGCTAAGTTTAATAAAGACAGTGCTTAAAAATCACTATTTTATCTCTTTTTGACATACGTGCAGTTTTCTGATGGCTCATTTAGGCACGTTTTTGTCTACAGCCACGTATGTTTTGAACACGGAGGCCTGTTTTTGACTCCTCCGTTTCATTCCAGACAACTTCTGTGTTTCATTAGTTCAAATTTCTTGCATACCACAGCTCAGTTTATTGGGTAAATGCATATCTGGCACATGCAGATTATTTCGCCTAAGCTGTTTGTGTTTGTCTTTTTTTGTCCTCAGGTTGTAAGAAGGTCTACACCAAGTCGTCCCATCTGAAAGCCCACCTCAGGACTCATACGGGTAAGATGTTCCTCAAATCATTGCAGCTTTTTTTTTTTCTTTAAGAGACAAATCCAAAAAAATGACACTGCCCACAAGGATTCAGATTACAGTATCCACACTGGCACTGTGTTGCTAGGCAGAGTTGTGTATTCGGCATGTGTGTGTAAATCTATCCTCATTCCCAGCCTCTGCCCAATATACTATTCCATCAAAACAGGTGGAAGTGACACACTTCTGCCAGGGGACGACTCTCAGACTATGTGGTCGGGGTTTGACATGTGGTGCCATCTTTCTCGGGATCACGTTACCGGATCGAAAATTGTTCAAATACACTCGTCTAGGTTTTTCCGCCACTGTTAATATTAGGCCTGTCGCGATAAACAATAAATCAATTAATCGCATCATAAATGAAAATTATCGACCTCATTTTCATTTATCGGCTTTATAGTTTCTTCGTGCCTCTTTCTACTGAAGACACTGGATGACAAGGCTCAACTCCGGTGCTCTTCACCGGCCCCTTCTGTCTCTTTTCTCTTTAAAATCTGTTTTAACCGTCCAAAATTGCATTTTTTGAATCGTTAAAAGCAGCTAAGCTGAGAAGCTAAGCTATGAGCTAAGCTAACAGGCTGACCTCGGGGGGGGGGGGGGGCGGGGGGGATCCTCCGTCTTGTCGAAGCTCCAAAATTCAAGGTTGAAACTCGTGCCTTCGTCTAAAAAGTTGTTTTTCTCTACAAAAAGAATCTGAGAACTTGTTTACTGATTTTTTTTTTTTATTAAAAGCTTTACGTGACAAATGCTATACTAAAGAGCTCAAACCACACAGAGCATCCGCCATTTTGAGAAACGAAGAGAGACCATGTCACGTCAAGGGGCATCCCTCTCATTTTTCTTAAAGGAACACGCTGCTTGCTCCCTCACTATCCATCCTTCAGTTCAAACAGTTTTTACTGCCATCCGGTGGTCGACAAAAGGTACTACACGCAAAACAAATGAAACACTTCTTATGTTATCGTTTATCGCAATAATTTCTGAGACAATTAATCGCCCAGCAAAAATTGTTATCGTGACAGGCCTAGTTAATATATACAAAAGCTTAAAACACATGAGCTCTTCATCTTCTTTTTCACTTTTAAGCTCCGTTTTTTTTATTTTTATCCATCCTTATCTCGATCACTTTCTCGTTTTATTTTTGAGCCATTTGGATTTTTTTGGGATGAGTAAAGTCAACAAACAAGTGCTTAGGTTTTGGGCCCCACCTTACTCCAGCTAAGAAAACAAAGCTTCTGTTGATATCTACGCATTCCTCGCTCATCTGGAAGTGCACGCAAAACTCACTCTTTCTTAGAAATTTTTTTTTTTTTTTCCTTTATGGATCTGAACGACTTGTTCAGAACGTCGGTGCGTGTTTGTGTGCGTCTGAGTTCATTTCAGTCTAAGGAACAAGACATGACAATAAAAATCTGGCGTCATTCGTGCCTCGGGCTGACTGTGGTTGCTGCAGTTATTACAGACCACAAGATGAGAGAACAACGTGTAAATGGTTGTATAGCAGCAGCTACATATCCTCTCTGTTTGTCAGCCTCTCTCGTTCCCTTTCATTCATCTAATCTATGCTTTATTTATTTATTTATTTATTTATTTTGTCGTGCTCCCACCTTCACCCTTCTCTGGATTTCCCCCTCCCCCCTATTTATTTCTATCTTTGTTACTCGTTCTCTTATTCACACTGACACACGCACTTCCTCACACACCTGTCAGTAATCTGTATGAGATGATTCCTAATGCGTTTGGGTCCCAGTGGGAGTTCCCACTCTAATCTCCATCAACATCCATTACCCTGATTGTAAGCGTGTTGCTCTATATGTGTGTATTTGTGTGCGTTTGAAAGCGTATTCAATTTTCCTCTCAATTTTTTATTTTTTTTTAATACATTATTTTCTGGATGTATTTGTTTTTCCTGTCCTCCTTTTATTGAGATCGGTTTCAGGTGTGTGCGCGCGCGATGCGACTGATCCAGTTACGGCTTTATTGTGATTGTTTCAGCGGCTCTTTAGAACCTGCTGTGCTTGTTTAGAGAAACGGTTCAAGCAAAAAACTAAAAGGGCCCATTTACAAATAGAAGCGAGTACTCGGCCTGCAGAGAACCACTTAAATGCTTCAAGCTGCAGCATCTACGAGCTCAACTTCTGCAACGAGGTTATTCAAAATCAATTTATATTTAACGTCCTTAAAATAAGGACTCTACACTTTGGCAAACCTAAATGAGTCAGCATGCCTACTTGAAATTTAATCTTTTTTTCTTCTCACGCAACTATTTCAAGTATTAGGATAGTATTATTTCAGGAATACCTGGAGAGATTCTGTCATTCTTTAAAAAACAAACACTTTTATTCTTTTTTTTATTTTTCTGCGTCTGTAAAAAAAAAACTTTTGTCTACTGAATTCAAGTCAGGTCACATATTTACCAGGTGTCATGTACTGGAATTTCTTTTGTTAAATGTCATTTTCGCATAACCATCCACAGGTTTTCATAATGCCATCTATAAAAACAAAATCTGCTGCCTTTTTTTTCATGACACTCCCACCTCTGTGCTTCATTATCAGTCACCCTGGTTGGATTCATGCTAGAGTAATTATAGACCAGTTCTAAACTTAGCATTTATTATTTAATATTATGTTTTTGTCTGAGCGCTAACTGAGCTTTAACTTTTTGTCATTAATTATTTAGTCTGTTAACAAAATATCTCTTGAACCAGTGGAGAGATTTTAATTCATTTTCAAAGAAATAATCATTGGATGCAACTCTACAGTTGTTAAAATTTTTGAGTTGATCCTTTTCAAGATGGCCGCCATAGTCAACCGAACAAGGAAATCACAAATATAACTATAAATCCACATATTTTGTAAATATTGTGCTGAAAGTTGGAGAGCTTGGAGCTGAGTTGTTCACAATACATACTCCCAAGTGATAGATATTTTGAGCATTTTTGCTTGAAACTTTAGCCTAAGTTGTCTAAGTCAACACTGTTCGTCTGTTAGCAAAATATCTCATGAACTACCAAACTGGTTTTAAAGAAACTTTCAGAGAGTAAGCGTTAGATTTATATCTACAACTGATTAATTCTCGAAGTTACTTCATTTAAAGATAGCCGCTACAACTAATTGACATTAACCAACACAAAAATGGCTAAAAATCAGTTGGTTTAACAAATATTGGGCTGAAGCTTGGCGTGGTAGTAGCTGAGAGTCATTCCCAACACTTAAACTGAGCGTGATCTCTCACAACAAGATAAATAAATGTTGTGGATTTGTCAAAAGTTTCATAACAAACAGAAATCTTGTGTTGGGGTCTAGTGGATTGAAACGAGTGGCAGTTTAATGGTTGAGAATCAGGCCTTAAAGGAAAGAGGTCGCACTAGTTTAGCTAAACGCCTGCAGCTCGAGGCGTGGAATGACAGCCATCTATAGCCAAGAAACCAGCCAGGAGCAAAGATAGCCACTCCAGAGCTGCCACCGTGAGAAACTTGCACAGTACTAGTGTTGGAGTAGCTCAGAACGCCTGAGTGACAGTGTTATGACTGTATATGCTGTCGGACAACTGGAATTTTCAGTAAAGCCTGTTCTCCCAGTTTCTCCACCTGACTGCATGAGTCATTTGTCTGTGAATGAGCTCGTTTCATTTTTTTTATTTTATTTTTTGAAAATCAAATCTCTTCAGTACGTGCACGTTAACACGGTCTGTTCTCCACTGTGGAAGAAGCTGAACTGCAAGCTTGGTGTTGTTTCAGCTCACCTGCACACACTAACGTCTTCCTCTCCGTCCTGCAGGTGAGAAGCCCTACAGGTGCACGTGGGACAGCTGCGACTGGCGTTTCGCTCGTTCCGACGAGCTGACGCGTCACTACCGGAAACACACGGGCGCCAAACCCTTCCAGTGCGCCGTCTGCTCGCGCTCCTTCTCCCGCTCCGACCACCTGGCGCTGCACATGAAGAGACATCAGAACTAGCGGCGGCGTTTGCACATCGACGCGTTCGACGGCGTAACGTGCAAGCCCTGTCGTCGTGCGCGTGGAGCTGAAGCGGCGTGGTGCGGGGAGACATGGCCCGCTCCTCCTGGTGCTGCCATCACATGCTCCACGCTACGGTAGCCTGACATGTTGCTCTTAACTCAAAGTGGGACAATTAAGAGGTTGTAAAGTAGGAAAAGTGGCCAAAGTTTGGTCTGTTAACCTTCAAGTACACTTGGTTTCAATTTCTTTGGACAAAATTCAAAGAAAACACGCCATAACAAAGAAAATGGTAGCTCCTAAATGTGTTCCAGACTGTTTGGACTCTCTCCTGTAACTGGAATGAAAGCAGCAGAACAACATCATCTGTCTTTGTTGTAATGTAGAACTTCTTAAGAGACGAACATCTTTGTTTACTCATTGGTGTGTTTGTTTATGTAACTGCATTATCCAGATTTTTTATTCTTTTTTTTTTTTTTAAACCAAATTCGTACATTTGCACTAGAATTGATTATCTCTCAGCTTTTTTTTTTAAATCTCATGCACCACTGGAACGATCATTATCACTACTGGACTGGCTCTTTGTGAACGCCATTCAAGTCATTTCTGTTCTGATATTAAAAATTTAAAAGCATTTATTCTCTCGAGACACAGGAGATAAAGCGGGGAGGTGAGGGGCGATATAGATGGAGACTGAAAGTTTTTTTTTTTTTCTTCTTTTATAGAGAGATCTCCGGATGACTGAGTAACGTAGGGACATGGACGGATAGTAAGAGCAGCAATTAGGTGATCAATTATTTAGGTTGTCTTTTCGATGGACTTCTACCCAGAAACATGTAAGCAGAGCGGATCTTAGAGATCATTCAGTTAAAACGGAAGCAACTGGACTGGATGCACAGCTTTAGTTAAAGCATCTCCAAAAAATGAAATTTATGTGCATTTGTGCCACCTTTCATTTTGTTTGAACATTTTAACCAAAGCATCATCTTCATCATTATCACCTTACGAAGTGCCTCCTTTTCTGGTTAAGGTGTTTCTGTGTTCGTGGTAGTTAGTGCAGGCGGTTCGGTTTGAACACACGCGGTGCTGTTTTAATTTCGTTTAAAATCTCGGGACTCAGTTTGAGGGTGAGAAAAAAAACATCTCATTAAAACCCCGTAAAGCTGACCGTCTCCAATGTAATATAACAGCTCAGTTCTGACCACTTCGCAGACATCCTCACATTGTGTGTACTAAAGTGACTCGTCTCTGTCCTGTTTTCAAGGAGGGTTTTCAGCCTCTTAAAGGTACTCATTGCAATGTCATGAAGACCGGTCAACAAATATGTTGCACAGAAGAAAAAAAAATCTGCCCAAATTTGTGACTGGATGCCACCTATGGAAAAAACCAAAGTGATGGAAAATAAGTCAACATCCATGAAAAGAGACACTTGGGAGGACAAATCTAACAGTTTGATATATAATGTATTTATACTTCGATTTGTTGACTAAATGCAGATTTAAAGATGGATGACAGTGAAACTGTAAACTTACCAGTCTAGAAGATGCTTGTTTAAAGGCTCTCTTCATGGTGCTTCACTCGATCACCGATATTTATTCTTGTCCGTTTTCTTTCTGGATCTTCCTCTTTTTCTGTGTTTAGCAGCAAATTCACCTTTATATTCCCATTTAAATGTCTTCTCTGGGATTCAGTTTCACCATTTTTGTTTACCTGCACAGACTACCAGCCTAATGTACGTGTATGACAGGACTCGAGCTGATTCTGCTTTGTTTACGTGGAATGCAGACCCTCATTTCGGAACTGCAGATCAATACATCTGGAAAGCTGTTGGAGTAATCGCTTTCAAACTGCCCCATTTTATACAATTCAAAATAACCTTTTTATTGAACATTTATTTTCATACTTTGCAATGAGTACCTTTCGCTGTGTACACAGTCCTTCAAATGTGGACACATGCTCCGTTAAAGGACAGGTTTGCTTGATTTTTTTTTTTTACCTTTTGGGAAAATGTTCTTCTTTTGGATGATTTTTTGTTTGTTTGTTTTTCCAGAGAACAATGGTTTTTATTTCACATCACTTGCACTGAAATTCCTCTTGGAAGAACATTATAATAGAACATCTGACCCTACCTTTAGCAGTAGCCTGAAATACTTTTGTTATAGTTTGAACAAAATCTAACCACCTGTTAGGATGTATGGGGCTTTTTTTTTTTTAAGTGCTCACTAATCAGTGCACACTGAAAAATCATATAGAAACTTTAAATAAAATTCATATTCTGTACATTTTTGCTTGTATCTGGTCTTAACAGGAAGTTGAATTATGTCATTAGGCAATAACTCGTGAACCTGTCCTTTAATGAGTGTTTAATGGTGTGATTTAGCCTGAACCTCTAACTGTGTTTGTTCATTCACTGCAGGTAGCGTAATAATAATATAGCACTGTAATGTATCAAGGGAAATCCGACTATTTATTTAATTGTGTAGAAGCTGGGATTGAACAGGTCATCTGTTTTTATTTCCCAGCAAAAAATGCCTTAATGTAAATATATGCACTGTAAATAATTTTGTTCCATTTTTATTTTGTAAACAATAGGGCAGAAAATAAGGAAAAAATTGCCCCGCATCCAAAAATGTATGAGCCTTTTTCTTTGTTTTATTTTATTTTGTCAAAACTATTTTGATGCCATCATTTTATATAATGTCCTTCCAACAACTTTTTTGTAGCTTTTAATTTCTCCTTCCATGGTAAACGTTCCAAAGACAAAAGTTGTTTGTTTTTTTCCTTCAACTGAGTGAAACCGATGCTAAAAATAAAGTCAAAGGACACTTTTACAGATGCGTTCCTCGTTCTGAATTTGACATGAGATAAGCGTTCTTTCTTTTATAACCTGCTAACATGTGGCAATGATGCAAATATGTGCTTACAGTTAGTGGTTTCTCCATGAGGTTCAGATTGAAGCGAAGGCATGCTGTGCAGCTAGAAAACAAGGTGCCTGAGGGATATTAAAAACAAGTCTGGTCACGGCTTGAATAAAACAAACGACACAAAACAACACACAATCTAAAATCATGACCAGGATTTCTGTGCAAGTTAAGCCACTTCTGTTTTTCTTTGAGATTAAAAGCTGACATTTAAGGAGTTACTGCGAGTAAAGAGCAATAAGATGTGGAGGAAGAGGTGAAGCAGTCTCATCCAAGACCTGCAGGTAACCTGCAGTACCCTTGCTGATCAACAAACATTAGTCCTTTGATATCCCAGCAAGAGACAATGGACAAGAAAATAAATCTGACCACCGCTCGGGGGACCGGAGGGGAATCCCACTGCATTGAAACGGACATTCAAACATGCACACGGCACCATATGTTCTTGGTTTAAGTCATAAATGTGACCCGGGGTCTCTGTTGTAATCCACCTCAGATGTCTGAAAAAGTAAGAGGCCGAAGGGAAGATAGAGAAGAAGTGAAACGCAGAACAAGCTAAACAAAAAGGGTCTCTGGAGGGACCCAATCAACCACTTCCGTCCTCCTACGTCTCCTCTCCGTGTCCTCCTCCGCTTCTCTTATTTGATTTCATTTCTTTTTCTTTGTCTTTTCATGCACCGTGTCCCCCCCTTTTTTTTTTTTTTTTGCATCTCGGTGGAAAGTATTGTATGAAAGTCCAGGGGCTCTGCTCCGGAGGTCAGAGTGGAGACAGTTCTCATACCCTCATCGTTTCTCCTCTTTCAAACAATGCAGGGTTCCTGCTCTAATTAAACCTTTTAAAGACGCGTCTAATTGTTGCTCAACACTGAAGAGCAAAGGCAGACGCAAATTATTTTGTCCACACGTGCTCGTTAGCAAAATATTGTCAGAACTGCTGAGCAAATCTTTACAAAAATTGCAGAAAATAATCATTTTATGTACATCTACAACTTATTAACTTTAGTGGTCAACCTGATTCAAGATGGTTGCTACAGTCAACTGACCTTAGAAAACACAAAAATGCCTACAATTCAGACAACTTGGCAAAAAGTGTGTTAAAATTTGGCGTGAATGTAGCTGAGGTTTGTTATCAACACATACCCCAAGCAATACTCACTTCTCAAGAGCTACATTTAAAACTTTAGCATTAACTTTTGGAGTCATCCCTGCTTGGCTGTTAGCAAAATATCTCATGAACAAGAAGACAGATTCTAATGAAACCCTCAGAAAGTAATCACTGGATGTACATCTTTAACTGAATAACCTTTGAAGTCCAGTCAGTTTAAGACGGTTGCTAAAGCTAATCAAGCTTAGATAACACAGAAATGGCTATAACTAAATCAACAGACACTGAGCTAAGCTTGGGTCTGGTAGTGGTTGAGGATAATTCCCAAAACATACTCTGTGTGTTACAACAAGATTGTTTTCTAAAACTCTGGCATAAAAACAAATGCATTGCTTCAAGAAATGCTAGTCCTTTTGTTTCACACGTGCAGTTGGTTGCTTGTTGAAAACTCGTGTTTTTAATTTGCCAAAGCTTTGCATCGTGCTGATAACAGGTATTTTTGTTGAAGTCCGGCAGCCGTGATGAGTGAGTGGGAGCTACCGGTTCATGTTTTTGGATCAACTAAATTAATGTCACACATCTGGAAGAAGGCTTTTGCCTGCTCCACCCTCCGCTGTGCTGCGTTGGTGTGATTCCCAGTTTTCCTCTTTCTTCTTCTTCTTTTTTTATGTACATGTGTTTGTGAGTGTGCATGTTGGTATAAAGTTTCCAGTGCACCTCTCGAAAGAGACCACCCACTCAGAAGACCAAAGAGTGACCACTGGTACACCAGGACACACACACACATACCAGTATCTATGTATCTATCTATGTATCTATGTATCTATCTATCTATCTATCTATCTATCTATCTATCTATCTATCTATCTATCTATCTATCTATCTATCTATCTATCTATCTATCTATCTATCTATCTATCTATCTATCTATCTATCTATCTATCTATCTATCTATCTATCTATCTATCTATCTATCTATCTATCTATCTATCTATCTATCT